CAAAATCACAAGCCAGCTGTTTGCGACTTTCAAATGTGTCCTTGTCCCCTTGTGTTAAATAGAGAATTACCAAGCACAAGAGCCATGCCAATAAATCAACTAAACTGAAGTTAAAGTGTTTTTTTTATAGCCATGTGATAATTATCGAAGAAAAATAAAAAGCTATTTTGCTGGTAGTCTGCTTTTTAGTACTAGTCGAGTACTTCCAAATGTGTATTGGGACAGAGTTTTTATAGTTGATGTAGCTTTTGGCCTTGTCTCCTTCACTTCTCTGAAACAAACATACCAAATATATCTTTATTTTGTTTTGTCTCAAGTTGTAGTTACAGCAGAAGAAAGATGTTATGGTGAGTGGTTTATCAGTGGGAAGTGGTTTATCAGTGGGAAATCTTGAGAGGATCATTTATCCACACAAAACAAGAAACTGGGGGGAATTAGCTTTCCACATTTCATCATAAAGCATGCATAATTCATAGAAGAGAGGAAACTATTGATGAGGCTGAACAAAATGAGTTCCTTGTTGCCAGAAAGAATAGAAACATTAGTTAATAAAGCTCTCTATTTTCCTAAATATTTTCTTAAAGCCTTTTGAAGTTGAATACCACTGTAACTTTCACTGTCATGCTACCAAAGATGAAGGCAGATGTTTTTACAGAATCAATAAAATTTTAAGAGACAGAAGGGACCTTATAAATATCTAGTCCAACTATACTTTACAGATTGGAAATCTGAAGCCCACAGAGGTGAAGTGAACTTCCCAAAGTCATATAGAGCTAATGACAGAGTTGAAGTTACAAGTCAGGTCTTCTGACTCCTGTACTCACTAATAATGTAATCTGGCCACTTTCCTAAAAGTTTGACATGAACAATTACATTACCAATTTACTTTACCATCAGTAATCCATAGAGATATCCAATTTCATGCATCTAGCTTGTTGTTTAATTTGTAGGATTCAGTTAATAACTGTATTAATTTAATGCATTTTTTGGAGAGATTGTGGTCACTAAGTCTCCCACTGTTAAGAAAGTTGAACAAGTTTCCAAGATTCCTATATGATATATGATGACTCTCTCCACCTATATGTTATAAACATTTGTAAAAATCTATCTTATTTACTCTTGAGTTAAGAACTACATTTTAAGAAATCTGTGAGATATGAAATTTAAGGAAAACAAAGTGACCTTTTTTCAGAGTACTTATTGTCTTCTGGTCTTTTCTAAATGCACAATTTCAACTATTTGACAGTGAAATCTACCTATATGATAGATTTTTCAAGTTCAACTTTTATGTTCTAAAATATTTAAAAACACTTTAGGCAAATTGTAATTAATTTTCTCCATAGATATCCAAAGTACCATACATGCATTTTCATCATGGATATTTATATATAGTTGCTCCTAGGTGAATTTTTAAAATTTATTTAGGAGATGAAATTATATATATCCTGTAATGGGAGTACTAATAACTCAAGGAGCAGGGATGAAGATTAATGAAGAATTAGAATCTTAACTCATGAGCTTTTAATAATTCATTTGATTTGCTTCAATACTGAAGAGCCCATAAAACAGGCCACCTATATATAAATTCTAATCCCACCCCTCTTTTTAATGTAAGAGCTTTCTTTTTTCCCCTTCTATTGAAGTTAGTGAAGTGACACTGGTTAACAAAATTATACAGGTTTCAAGTGCATAATTCCACATATATCATCGGTACATTGTATTGTATGTTGAGCACCCCAACTCAAGTCTCCTTCCATCACCATTTATCCTCTCTATACCCCTATCTACCTTCTACCAGCCCAACCTCCACAATAACTACACTGTTGTCCCTGTCCATGAGTTTTTTCTATTTTTTCTTTCTTTTAGTTTTTGCTCATTTCCTCTACCACCACTCTCAGCCTCCCAATGGCCCTCCTCCGACAGCTGTCAGCCTGCTCTCTGTGATTCCGTGTCTGTTTTGCTTATTAGCTCATTTTGTTCATTAGATTCCACATATGAGTGAAAGAGTGTTGTCCAGCAATAGAATGAACTGCCATGTGAGGGAGTTGGTCCATTACTACAAGATTTCAAACTAAAGCTAAAAGATCATCTTTCTGGAATTCTTAAAAGGATTCTTGCATTGAGAAGTAGATTAAAAGACTTCTAAAATCCACCCTGGTTGGTGTGGCTCAGTTCGTTGAGCGCCATCCCATGTACAGAAAGGTTGCTTGTTTGATTTTTGGTCAGGGCACATACCCAGGTTGTGGGCTTGATGCCTGGTCTAGTGCATATGGGAGGCAACTAATCGATGTTTCTCTCCCTCTTTCTCCCTCTCCCTTCCTCTCTCTTTAAAATCAATAAAAACACATTTTTAAAAAGACTGCTCAAAGATTCTGTTATTCCTATATTGTCTTTCTCTCCTACTTTTATAGCACAAACAAAACAGAAATAGAGTTGTGGATACAGAGAACAAACTGATGGTTGTAAGATGGGAGGCTGGGTGAAAAAGGTGAAGGGATTAAGAAGTAAGTAGAAGTTGGCAATTACAAAATAGTCACAGGGATGTAAATTACAGCATAGGGAATATAGTCAAGAATATAGTAATAACTATGATGTCAGGTGGGAGTACTACACTTATTGAGGGAATCGCTTCATAAATTATATAAATGTCTGACCATTATGCTGTATACCTGAAACTACTATAATACTGAATGTCAGCTGTAATTGAAAAAACAAGGCCATGTGAAAACACAGGGACACGGAGAGAATCCCATGTGATGACAAAGACAGATTAGAGTGATATGTCTGCAAGGCAAAGATTTCCAGCAACCACCAGAAGCTAGGAGCGAGATATTAACATGTTCTCTCTCAGAGCCTCCAGAAGAAATAAACTCTGCTGATACTTTCATCTTGGAATTTTAGAATTCCAAGAACTGTGAGATAACCCATTTCTATTGTTTTAGGTTACCGGTTTGTGGTACTTTGTTATGGAAGTCACAGGAAACTAATATATGCCCTTCGCTATGGAAAACTGACATGACAATTCCTTGGCACGTTTAGGATGACAAAATAAGTGTTACCATAATTTTGAAAAATCAACCACAAAATATCATGTAAAAATTAGATTTGCTTTGGTCTGAAAATCAATAAATGGAAAATCATTTCAGAAATAGGTCTTCCTAATACACAAGTTCAAAGGGTAAGAAAATGGAAAATCCTTGATTCCAACCATATTATAGTGAGTGGTGACATCCTAGGGTACAACTAAAACTGAATAAAATGAAAGACATTGTCAGAGTTGAGAAAAGTATATTGAGCTAGTCAAGATTACCAAGATTTATTGATTAAAGTTCCTTACACAACTGAGTAGTAGTCTCACCCCCATTGTTCATTTTCTGCATCCTTAGTCTTTTACCTGAACATTCTACAAAACTTTTTTTGCTGAAGTGTCAATAAGGTGTAAGGACCTTTTTGTCTATCAATGACCAATAATTTCAGCAAGGAACATCACAGCAATCACACCTCATTCCACGAGGGTCCCCTTATATGTTCACAATTGGCTCACTAAAGGTCTGGGAAGCAAAGAAGCTGAATAAAAAAGGCAATATTGATAGTTCACTTGTCCTTAGCCAAGTAGAATCCCATCCCAGTTTCAGGAGACCATCGTGATCCCACTCATCTCATAAATATTCACTTATTCACAGGTGAATAGAATCTTCTCCTACATACGTATCTATTCTGATCGATTCCATCAAGGCCATTGTCAAAATACTTCTTACTTATGTGGGGCATACCTACATCAAATTTCCATCATGATGATTATTTCCAATGACAAGGAAAACTTTTCATAAATATTTAAAATAACAACTCCAATTTCATTAATGAGGGCATTTAAACAAATTATAAACTTCATTTCATGAAGATACATTTCTATTTTTCAAAATGCTAAAACTATGCTCAATTACTTAAAACACTTTAGATTTAATTTTTTAGCACATGATTTTTCTTATTAAAAAATCACCTTTATACTTTTGAATTGAAAATTGGGGGCTTAAATAAATATTTATAGCCCTTAGGGAGCAACTAAAAGCACACAATTCTTGCAGACAAGCCCTAACATATTAAGTCTGTGTTTAATCAAGTCAGTAGTCATGACGATGCATAAAAGGTAATCCATAAAAATGTGAAAGACCACAATTTATCAACATGGTCTTTTTCCCACAGTTAATTAGAATACAAAATTGATCAGGGATAACCAGGTTAAGTAAAAACTGAGTGATGCTTCAATTACATATTATTTTCTTCTTATCAATTAGCTTTTATTCATCTTCCCTTATTGCTTCCCAACAAAATAAATATCCAAGAATCCATGTGTAAAATAGGCAGTCCTTGGATCAGTATGCTATAACTAGCTTAGTTTTAAAAACACCTTGTAATAGGTGATTTTTCCATATCAAGTGGAAACTAGCAATTACTGAAAATATTAAAAACTAACATGGACAGCAAAAAGAAACAAACAAACAAAAACTAATATAGACATTCAGTATATAATCTTAAAAAATCATTTTACCTATTGATTAATGAACAATTATATTCCATCAGGACTTATAATTTTATTTATTTATTCAATAAATAGAGCTCTCGATTGTTTTTTGGCTATTGTTCAGTATGTTTCTATATATTAGCAGCTTGAAGATGTATAATTGTATCTTCAACATAGTTCTTATTTGGAAAACCTCTTTGAAAATATTACTGCATTGCTTTTAAAGGCAAACACAGGAAATAGACATTCAAGTTATATAAATAAACAGAATTTTAGGAAAAAAGATAAATGAGAAATAGTCTAAATTATACCATACAATTCTGTTATTGCTCCAACTTGTGTGTCCGTGTGTGTGTGAGAGAGTGAGAGAGAGAGAGAGAAAGAGATGGAGTACAGGAGCAAGAGAATACCCATGAGTGTTTCTCCATTGGTGAGAAAATCTTGAGATGGGTGAGTCGCTTAGTTGAAGGCTCATCTACTATAATAAATGGAGAACCAGAATCAACAGGAGACACAGGAGAGTTTGTGACAGTGCTGATTTTAGCCAGTGAATCACAAGGAGATCTTGTATTGCTGTTGTTTCCATCAAGAGCATATGAACAGATGATAGACTAGGAGAAGAAAATGGCACTTATCGATAAAATAATTCAAAAGATCTCTGTGCACTCTGCCTTGTCTACAAATGAATGCAAAACATATTAAGCAAAGAAATGGCACTACTTACAAGAGCAGTTTCACAAGAGCAGCAAAACAAACCAACAGGAACAAAAAATGAAAATCTGTTCACTGAATTTTCCATTTTGATGATTAAAACATGCTTTTTTGGCATACTTTTCAATACTATGCTCAGCCTAACAAGGTAGAAATGATGGGCAGAAGATGACTGCTTTCTAAGCTTTCATTTTTATGTATTTCTCTAATACCACTTAATTTAATGGCAAATCCCACATCTAAAAATGTATCTACCATATATTAATGTCACACATAAATGCTAGGGAGGAGAACTCAAGTTAATATTACCCATTTGGGATATTAGTTTTATAACTTCTAAAAATCTTTAATAATATACCATACTTGTGAATATATACAAAGTAGACTTAAAAATTCAGTGAAAATGGCCACTAAATATTTAAAACCTCATGTTAAGACTCACCACATATTCATATCAGACAATTGGGTAGTATCAGAAGAAAACACATTGGTTGTGGCCTGGAAAAATCTCTTCGGCTGATTTTCAAATACCATTTCACCTACAAGAAAAAAGCAGATCAAGGTAGATATTTTTCATCTAACATGTTTATTGTTTTTTTAATTGCAAAACTTGTTCATTACAATTAATCTATAAAATACAGAAAAACACAAAGAAAAAAATTTACATCACTATTATCCAGAGATGACCACTTTTCAGTAATTCCTGAATATGTGCATGTATATATAATTATTTTTCAAATGAAATTGGATTTGTACTAAATATAATACCAATATGTAATCTACTTTTTGTTTTTAATGATTATAATTTTATCATAGTATTCACTAAATTCTAAAGCATGACTTTATATAGCTATGTAGTAAGGCTGTGCCATAATTTAATCTCATTCCTTATTTTAAACCTCTAGATCATTGTTATCTTTATTTTGCTAAAACTGCACAATGAACTAAATATAAATAGGTCAATTCTTTATAGCATACAATGAACAAAATAAACATATTTTTAAAGATTAAAGAGAAACACCTAATCTCAAAAAACTGCACTGCTATAACCTTCACATTGAAGTAAATGTTACAATCTGTATAATGTTACACATTCACGCGATAACCATATCTGGATATGAGAAAAACTGATGTTCAAGTCCATAACTTCTGGGGTGGAATATATTTGAGTGATAAAACACTAAGGCCACCTACTCATTAAAAAATATCCTTAGAGCCTGGCCGGGCATGGCTCAGTGGTTGAGCACCGACCTAGGATCCAGGAGATCACAGTTTGATTTCTGGTCAGGGCCCATGCCCTGATTGCGGGCTTGATTCCCAGTTGGGGGTGTGCAGGAGGCAGCCGATCAATGACTCTCATCATTGATGTTTCTCTCTCTTTCCCTCTCCCTTCCTCTCTCTGAAATCAATAAAGATATATTTAAAAATTAAAAAAAATTAAAAATGAATGGCATTCTTTTGCAGAAACACCCATCCTAAAGTTCACATGGAATCTCAAGGGGCCTCTAATAGTCAAAACAAATGTAAAATAGAAGAATAAACTTAGAAGGCTCACACTTCTTGATTTCAAAACTTACTACAAAGCTACAGTAACAAAAAAACAGAGTGGGACTGGCATAAGAACAGACTTTATGGAATAGAAGTAAACCCTCGGATATATGGTCTATTGATTTTAGACAAGGGTGCCAAACCATTCAATGGGGAAAGGATGATCTTTTTAACAAGTGGTGCTTGGAAAACTGAACATCCACATGCAAAAGAATAAAGTTGAATGCTTTCCTTATACCACATACAAAAATTAGCTCAAAATAAATGAAAGACCTAGAGATCTAAGACTATAAAGCTCTTACAAGAAAACATAGGGCAAAAGCTTCATGGTATTGGATGTGGCAATCATTTCTTGGATATGATACCAAAGCAGAGATACCAAAAGAAAAAAATAGATAAATTGGACTTCATAAAAAAATTAAAACTTTTTTGCATCAAAAGACACTGTCAAGAGAGTAAGAGATAATCACAAAATTTGAGATGCTTGCAAATCATATATATGATAAAGTATTAATAGCCAGTATAAAAGAATTCCTACAACTCAACAACAAAAAAGCAAACTCTTAAAATATGGGCAAATGTGCCCTGGCCAGGTGGTTCAGCTGGTTGGAGCATTGTTTCATACACCAAAAGGTTGCGGGTTTGATCCCTGGTTGGGGTGTGTATGGGAGACGATTGATGTTTCTCTCTCACAATGATGCTTCTCTCTTTCTCTCTCTCTGAAAATCAATAAAAACATAATAAAAACATATCCTCGGATGAGGATTAAAATTATATATATATCTGCAAAGGACTTGAATAGACGTTTCTCCAAAGAAGATATAGAAATGGTCAATAAGCACATGAAAAGATGCCCAAATATAATTTGTCATTAGGGAAATGCAAATTAAAACCACAATGAGTTACCACTTCGCACTCATTAGGATAGCTATTTAAAATTTTTGAAAATAACAAGTGTGGAGAATGTGGAGAAATTGGAACTCTCAAATATTAATGGTGCACTCACTGTGGGAAACAATTTGGCAGTTTCTCAAAAATTTAAACATTGAATTACCATATGATCCAGCAATCCTACTCCTCGGTATTTACCCCAAAAAACTAAAAGCAGGGATTCAAACAGATACTTGCACACAAATGTTCATAACAGCAGTATTCACAATAGCCAAAAGGTGGAAACAACCCAAGTTTCCATCACCAGATGGCTAACAAATGTGGTATATAAATATAATGGACTATTATCCAGTCATAAAAAGAATTAAGTTCTGACACATGCTACAACATGGGTGAATCTTAAAAACATTATGCTAACTGAAATAAACCAAACATAAAAGAGAAAATATTGCATGATTCCACTTACATAGAGACAGAAAGTAAAATAGAGATTACAGGAGATGGGGGTAAAATGGGGCGTTACTCCTGAATGGGTACAGAGTTTCTGTTTTGGAAATGCAAAGTGATAGTGCTTACCATTGTGAATGCACTTAACGCTACTGAATTGTACTTATGGTTAAAATTGTTAATAAAAACCCACAGCCCAAATTCATCCTGACATTCTTAAAAACATATTTCACACCTAATAAAGTATCTAGAATAGTGCTGGGCAAATATGATGCTAAATATTTTGGGGAATATGAAATAAGCTGATGAGAGACCTGGAATCATATTTGAGAGACAAACTTTATTTATATGAGGTTGGTGCTCTCCAAAGTAAGCATGGTCATAGCCCAGGAGGTGTACAAGATGATTCACTGAAAAGCAAAAAGAAAAAAATAGAAATTTGTTTTCTATATTCAAAATTCTAAGTAAGAAATGAAAGCCTGCAGACATTAGATTTGCAGATTCACACAGGGGCCCTCACTGAGTCTAGACTCCAAAGATGTACTGAGAAAAGAATATACACACACACACACACACACACACACACACACACACACATACAGGGGGTTCCCCAAAAATGTATATACACTTTTACAGTGATTTCTATTACGTTTTGAAAAGGAAAGGTATTTTAATAAATACTGCCTTTATAATTATTCAAAGTGTGTATAAGTTTTTGTGACACCATATATGTGTGTTTGTGTGTGTGTGTATATATATTGCCTTTAGTTAATTACAACTAATTGCAATTCACCTGAGCCAAGTTAGGTGGACATATGGATATATTATCTAGTTTTAACTAATCCAAGATCCACAAAATTGAAAGGTGCCTTAGCAAGATTCCAACAAAGAAACCTTGGAAAGAAGATTATTAGTAATACAAGTCTCAGTAAATAACAGGGAAATGGCAAAGGTGAAGCCTGTGCTACTCCTAGCACAGCTCATCATGTGCTACATTACTGTGGAAACACAATGCTGAGCTAATCTGCTCTGTTAAGGAGCTGGCTAAAACAATTTTAAATGGTGAAGATTATTGGAAATATGAAATCCCATCAACTCTCAATAATATAGTTAATAAAATGAAATTTAAAAATTTCTGAAAACATTTCATCTTTAATTCATCCTTTTTATATTTCTATTTTGAATATATTCTATGATTCACATTATGTACTAGCACAGTGGTATATGTTTGTAATGTAAATACAGTATATCATATATTGGAAGCATGTGCTCAAACATTTTTTATTGATGTACTATGTGATCAAAAGAGTTTAAGTATTATTGTCTATAGTGTAAAAAAAAATTTATAGGTAGTCTGTAACTGAAGAATGGTGTGAGTTGTGTGAAATAAATTTGACCTAGGACTTGAAAGATGTTTAAAATCTGGACAAGCAGAGGGTGAAGGGGAGGGTATTCCAAGCAGAAGGATCCATATGCACCAGTTTAGAGGAGGGAAAGAATATGGCAGGTATGAGGGTAGTGACTAGCTTGACTGAAACAGAGTTTGTGCTACAAAATTATGAGAGATAAAAGTAGAGAAGTAAAACAGGGCCAGATTTCTAGGATCTTAAATAATTGAGGAGTTTGAACTTAAAAGAATTTGGGCAGGATAGCACAGTTGTTAGAAACACAGGCTTTGGAGCCAAATAGAACTGAGTCAGCCCTATCCAGCTTGGCTCAGTGGTTAGAGCCTTGGCTGGAGGACTTAAGGGTCCAGGGTTCAATTCTGGTCAAGGGCACGTAGCTTGGTTGCAGGCTCGATCCCTTGCCCCAGTTGGTGCGCGTGCAGAAGGCAACCAATCTGTCTCACATTGATATTTCTCTCTCTCTCTTTCCTTTCCATTCTCTCTCTTTCTCTCTCTGAAAGGCAATGGAAAAAATATCCTCAGGTGCTCAATAACCTAGCTATTATTATTCTTATTCAATAGGTTATTGGAAGCCATTGTAAGTTTTTGTGCAGGAGAGAGAGAAAGAGGGTGGTTTAAAATGATGTGTTAGAAAAGTTATCTTGCTCGGCCAATGTGGTTCAGTGGTTGAGTGTTGACCCATGAACCAGGAGGTCATGGTTCAATCCCTGGTCAGGGCATATGCCCGGGTTGCAGGCTTGATCCTTGGTGAGGAGAGTGCAGGAGGCAGCTGATTGATGTTTCTCTCTCACTGATGCTTCTATCTTTCTACCCCTCTCCCTTCCTCTCTCTCTAAAATCAATAAAAACATATTTTTTAAAAATTCTTAGCTATAAAAAAAGTTATCTTGATGTTGGTTATAGAAGTCAGATTAAACTGGCAGAGATCAGAAATCTGTTAGAATATTATTAGAGTAATCTGGACCCAAGGGAGAGAAGGAAGTAGCCGTGGGAACAGAGAAGATGTCAAGGAAGAACTGATAGGATTAGATGCATAATTAGATACAGTAGAAAAATAAGGAAGAAGAAAAAAAAGAAAAAGAGTGAAGAAGTGAAGATGAACTTAGAGCTTCAAGTCTTAAAACTGTGTGACTGACTATTTTGATGTCATTACAGAAAATGTGGGAAATCGGGAAAGGTAGTTAAAGAAATTAATCAGAATTTTAAAAAATTAAATTTATTCGGGTAACATTAGTTAATAACATCATATAAGTTTCAGGGATACAATTCTATAATACATCATTTCCATATTGCATTGTGTGCTCACCTCCCAGAGTCTAGTCTCCTTCTGTCACCAT